TGTCAATACGGGGACCTACTCCTTCACTCTGAAGTCCGATGGTTAAGTAGAGGACGGGTGCTGAAACGTTTTAATGATGTTCTATCTGGCATAGTTCAATTTTTCAAACAACGCGATGAACCGACTCCGGAAATATAAAATTCAATCTGGCTTAGAGATTTTGGTTTTCTCGTGGACATTACAGAGAAATTAAACGAACTTAATTTGCAGCTTCAGGGAAGAGACAAAGAACCAGCGGAAATGATTTCTGATATAAAAGCATTTATCAAAAAGCTGGAGTTTTGGTAAAAAACCTAATTAACAGTGATGACAAGCATTTTCCTATTCTTTCACAAAAAATATCTCAAAATCCATTAGAACCCTATGACAGCAAATATCATGTAAAAATAGTTTCTACCCTGAAGAATAACTTCAAAAATCGTTTTAAGGATTTCAACGAAATGGCTTTAGTAGCGCAGTTTGTTGTTTCACCCTTTATGGAAATTGATATCCAACAGTTTGCAACTTGTGTTATGCAGAACTTTGGCGAAGACATCGCTGCAACAGAAATGGAAGTAATTGAGTTTCAAAATGATTTAGCCTTAAAATCGTTAGTCTCAAGTACCAAATGTATCTGGGCTATTGTAAATAAACACAAATATTCAATTCTATGCCGTGTTGCCTTGAAAGTGAAAGCATTATTCAGTTCAACCATTGTATTTAGAGAAGATAGTAGAACAACCTTATGGACGTTTCATTGGAGGCAATTCTGTCGCGACATCTGTTAGAAATTCATCAAAATAGCCCGAACGCTAGCACTTCCTCGATCATTGAGTACAGAATTCTATATACATAAAATTTTCTTAATTTTTAAATTCATATGGGTAGAGTTCTAAATTTAAATTACTATTGTTCATATTCTCTAAAATGATAATAAATCGTAAATAAATGTTCAACAAGCATAATTAAACTCGTATATTCCATTTTTAAAACAAATATTCTGAATCGATTATGGGCCCATCTATTAGTAAATAGAGAAATTACGTTCGTTTCGAAGACGACAAAATTATCAAAGACATGACTTGGACACCACGGAGCTTGCTGCCATCTATTGATACTGTCCATTGTCCTCCAAGATAATTTGCATTGGTATTGTTTTACTAGTTGATCTAAATACAATGGTTCAACCTATTTGTGTGAATCTTCTTTTTCCAATATGAAGTTTATTAAGAAAAAATATCGCAATCGACTTACAGATGAACATTTGGATAATTGTATTCAAATGGCTGTATCAAATTATACTGCAAACATTAAAAAAATTATCGATGAGTCTGAGTGTCAGCCTTCTATTATTATTATTATTAACTATTTTTAAATCTTACGTGACATGCCGTTGTGGCTGGATAAAAGTTAGTATTTATTTTTCAAACACCTTCGTTTGGAAGGTAGGAATGTAGCTATGAACAAGTACGTATTAGTAGTATTAGTTATTTTGTTATTAGTTTATTATTAGTACCTATGTATTATGTATTACCAGTTAAATAGTAAAATAAATACATATAATGATAAATTAACTGTGGATTATTTCATTTACGTTGCATTACGTGGCTTCCGTGTGGGTAGCTCGCTGTTTATTCCAAAATTAACAAAGTAGCACTACACATTGAGAGGTTGGCGACCACTGCTTTAAACGAATTAAAATTTGTTGAATTGTGCAATTTTAATATTATCAAAATTTCCATCGGAAGCTTTTAATTCACAAAAATTAAATTATGGAAATTTTTTCGAAATTCCAGCATTAAAATCCCAGTTAAGTGTTGTTTATGAAACAGCTGAAATTATTAATAAAAAGACGTTCATTGAAAAAGAGCTTGTTAAACAGTTATCAGAAAATCCAAAATTTTACGATGTTATAGACAAACTTGCAGCCATTGAGGATAGGCGAATAGATCTTTAGTATAAATAAATGTCAACTGCTGTGTCAACTGTGCAAAAAATGTTGGAAAAAATAAAAAAAACTTCAGTTAAATTTTTTTTTAAGTTTAAATAAACCAAGGAAGCTTTCCAATGGTAAGTTTTTTTATAGCTTCCAGTACTAAACTAGGTAATAAAGTAATAGTAACACTTCAAAAATGTCAATCTCAAATATTCGTAG